TCACACCAACAATTTTTAAAGGTTTAAGCATGTTTGGAAAAATGGTTTCTTCTTAGATCAGTATAAAAAATGGCAGTTCTCTTTGGAAGAGCTACTCTGTGGTAAGCCTGTGTCAATGGGAGTGAAAGTGCCAAAAATAGCCACAGGAAGCTGATGATTTTGCAATTCTTAGTGTGGTTCTGAACCTAGGAGGAGAATTTACTTGTGTTTGGAATTATTGCTTCATGGAATGAAATCAGAAAGATGATTTGTTATACTTCACGTCTTTTCTTCTTTTTTTGATCTGGTTTAAAGGCACTGAGAATTGTGTTTTAAAGTACAGGCATCCAGTTAACTAAAACATAGAGACTTTAATAAGCAATAAAAATAATTCTTTTCTCCCAAATTGAGCTGGTGGGACCATTGTCTTCTTTCTTAGGTGAAAAAAAATCAATACATAGCCATTGTTGGAATACAGACTCTTACTCTGAAATCTTTTTTTTTTTTTCATACCAGGGATCAAACTCAGGACCTTGCACTTTCAAGGCAGGTGGCAGAACCACTGAGCTAAATCTCTGGCCCTATGAAAATCTTGAATACATCGCTGGCATTCAAATCATTAATGCAAGGCTACCTAACACTTTGTGACTATTTTTTTTTAAACAAGTTTTTCCTAAGTGATTAAAACAGCTAGGGTTATTCACTGCCTTTTAAGAATAGGAAGATTTAGGGAATCATTCACAAATATACCTATTCTCACTCTCTTCCTGCCCAGCTTCAGATGAAGAGATGTCCCTCTACTCCAAGATGAGCTCCCAATCTGTACTTTGAATGTATACATAAAAATTAAATTTGTGGGGAAAGGTTGATCAATGGGTACTAAGTTACAGTTAGATGAGATGAAGAGGTTCCAGTATGCAATTGCATAGAAAGGTGACTATAGATAGTGATTATGTATATTTTCAAAAGCTAGAAGAAAAGATTTTGAATGTTTTTTACATAAAAGGTAATAAGTGTTGGAGTTGACAGGTATGTCTAACTTGATTACACATTGTACACGTGTATTAAAATATCACATGGAATTCCATTAATACATAGAATTTTTATCTTTTTATTTATCAGTTAAACAATTACATGAAAAAGTCATTCTCTTGTCGACAGAAAAAGACAATAAATTTACCCTCTTCCTCATTTCTCTGTTGCTTTTGAATTTTCTATTTCACTATCTCCATCATTCTTCCAAACTAAGCATCTAAGAATCAGTAGAGACTCTTTGTTTACATTTCTGTACACCTGTCCCATCTAATCACCAGTGTCCCATCCATTTTTTTTTACCAGTTTAGTATTGTCCCTGCCTGCCCATTTATATTGGTCTATTTCCCATTATTATAATGAAATATCTATGGCTAGGGAAATTTGTAAAGAAATTTATTTCTCTCAAGTTCTCGGAGTTCAAGGGCATGACATTGGCTGGGCTTGACTCTGATGAGAATCTCATGGCAGATAGCATCACAGCTGTGAGTGTGTGTGTGTGTGTGAAAAGAACAGGAAATGGCAAGACAGGAAGCCGGTGTGGCTGGAGAAGGGCCAGGCTTGCTCTTTTGTAACAGTGCCCTCTTGAGAACTAACCAAGGTCCCCAAAGAACTGTACCAGTTCCTTCCAAAGACAGTGCTCTCCATGACCTAATTATTTTCCACCAGCCTCCAATTCTTAAAGGTTCCACACAACCCCTCAGCATTACCACACTGAGGACCAACCTCCCAATACGTGAACAATTAGGAATACATTCAACCTATATCCAAACAACAGCACCCTTTTTTCTATATTACTTCTGCTACTGTATCAGTCCAGGTTCTCCCTACCTTAGAGAATCCTCCCAAATGGTCTCCCTCCTACACCTTTTGATATCCATTTCCTACACCACTATCAAGGTTATCATTGTAAATACAAATCTCCTTAAAAGCTTTTGATAGTGCTTCACCATCTTAAGGGCTTACCATTTTGCAAATGGACGATGTACCCTCTCCCTCTTTTATATTTGTAGACTGGTTCCCTGTACTGATCATTTGCTCCTTGTTTGTTCACAGTGTTCCTACTAGCTCTTTAAGGCTAGCTCATCCCCCAACAGCTCTGGAAAGCAAGGAGGGAGCCCATACTGGGTTTAAATTCAATTTCAGTTACAGCTTAAGGCATTCCATATAACTTTTTTTCTTTTGTATTTTAATTTTGGTTGTACATGTGTGTCTCCTCCACAGCAACTTTAAACTCATTGAGAAGAGAGTTGTCTTTTTATTTTTGAGTCTCCATGGCAGTTACCATACCTACTTCTTAGTAGATGCTCCATAAATTGCTTCCAAATACAGGAGGTTCAGTCTTTTTCTGTTGTGTCAGGAAACTTTGCTTAAGCTGTTATATCCCTTCTTTCTCTCTTCTTAAGACAGTTTATCTTAATAATTTATCAGTTAAAATGTTTATGAGCCTGCTGTTGTCATGTAGGTAGGTTTTCAAGCTAGGAATATACTTTCTTTAATAG